CTATAAAAAGGCTCATTATATTCAAAGTTATATGCGTATTCCTGTATTCTTTTTACTACAAAACTAATAACAATCCCTGGAATTTGAAAATTGATTCTAAAATAATATACAATCTATTAATTTGGAATTTTATAGACTTACACTATTAATTGTGAATTGATTAAATATATTATATAAAATCAATTAAGAGTTTGATCTAATTGTATTTGTATTATTAAATTAATGAATTAACGAATTAATTTATTAAATTAACAATTTTATTTTTGTGCATTATTCATTATCGTAATTAGAGATATGAATTATAAATTAAAACTGTTTAGTTATCAGGTGGTAAATAAATAATAGTTTTGATATTTAATTTTATTAAATTTGAATATTAAAATTACGATGACAACAAAAGAAAAACTAGATTTCAAACATATAAGTAGATAATTGAAGTCAACTTTTCAGTCAAACTCAAGATGAATTCTGGGATCAGTTGGAATGAACTTAAACTTAATATTGCAATTAAAGATTATAATGACAAAAAATATAAACAAGCCTTTGAAAGCTTTTATGATTTTGTTACCACACCCCGTAGTGAATCTAAAAAACCTAGTGATATTAAAATCATTGGCCTGGCCACATATTATATGGCACTTTGTTATATGTACGGGAATGGTGTAAAACAAGATATAAAACAAGCTATAGGTGTCGCAGAATATCTTCATAAATATGAAAAGTATGAGGACGCTTGGAATATTTATTCAGAATTAGCCAAGGCAGATAATATTAAATTAAATGCATTAAAACGAATGGCAAATTATTATAACAATGGATATGTCAAAAAGGATGAAAGGCTTATCTTTGAAATTGCATTAGAATTATACAGTAAAAAACAATATAAAGATGCATATAATATTTTTTTGAAACTTACCAACAGTAATGACAGTGAAATTAAATTAATTACTACATGTTTTAAAGCATCTTATTATATTACAGGGTATAATGATGTTAGAAAAAATAAGAACAAGGCTATTGAACTTATTATAAAAGAT